TCAGGCCCAGAGCTCTGGCAACAAGTCGGCTCAGCCCCCCATTCTAAGTGTATTTTAATATTAATATATATATAATTTTATATATATTAATACTAAAATACGCTTAGAATAATGGATTATGTATGTCTATGTGCATATAAAAGTACTTATATTTATATATATATATATATATATATATGTATATATATATATATATATATATATGATCTAAGTACTTTTATTAACTTTCTAAACTTAACTGCTCAGGCAGTCCCCTTGTAGGCACTGCATAAGCCGGCTGTTATGGCCATGTGATCGCGAGGATTGGGCAGAGGGGGCTGCCTGAGCTCCCAGGCAGACCCCAGGAATGCAAACATCGGCGGGGACCAGGTATGTATTAAGGACTGCGGGGACGTTCTATGCCGCCCTCCGGTGTTTAGAGTCACCCCAAAAAGGGCAGTATAGAAAGCAATGGGAGGCTATTGTGCATATGTAGCAAAAGGCTGTTTGGCCAATCAGCATCTCCATGGGGAGAGTTCAGCGCCTGCATGCAGACCCAATCTAATACATTGCCTTCCATCCCCCCAATTTAATACACTGCCCCCTTTCCCTAATTTATTACACTGCCCTCCTCCCAATCTAACACACTGCCCCTCCTACCTCCACTCTAGTTGAATAGACTGCCCTCACTCTATTTTAATACACTGCCCTCCATCCCCCCAATTTAATACACTGCCCTCCCCTAATCTAACACACTACCCCTTAATCTAATACACTGCCCCTCCTCCCTCCAATCTAGTTGAATACACTGCCCTCACTCTAATTTAATACACTGCCCTCCATCCCCCCAATTTAATACACTGCCCCCTCCCCTAGTTTAATACACTGCCCCTCCTCCCTCCACTCTAGTTGAATAGACTGCCCTCACTCTAATTTAATACACTGCCCTCCATCCCCCCCAATTTAAGACACTGCCCTCCCCCTAATCTAACACACTACCCCTTAATCTAATACACTGCCCTTCCTCCCTCCACTCTAGTTGAATAGACTGCCCTCCATCCCCCCCAATTTAATACACTGCCCTCTCCCTAATCTAACACACTACCCCTTAATCTAATACACTGCCCCTCCTCCCTCCACTCTAGTTGAATACACTGCCCTTCCCCCAATTTAACACACTGTCCTCCCTCCCACCACTCTAGTTGAATAGACTGCCCCCACTCTAATTTATTACATGGTCCTCCATCCCCCTAATTTAATACACTGCCCCTCCTCCCACCACTGTAATACACAGCCCCACTTCCTCCCCCAATTTAAAACACTGGCCCCCTGCCTCCCCCAAATTAATACATAACATGTAACCACTATCAAATCCTACTTTGAATTTTGGGCCACCTTCTATATTGTCCATGCACTGGACACTGCAAAGTGCTGGCATTATAACCAGCGCTGTGACTGTCCATTGCTGGACATAGTGGACAGTAAGGTCAGGTTTATTGGCTAGAGTTTGTCCATCTCGTGCAGCACTGTAGTTATATATATAAGGAAGCAATTTTGGCTAAACCTTTTCCTTCAGCTTACCAGGACAAGCATCCCACCCACACTCCCAAGTATCTGTATTAGGCTTTAAGTCAAGGGATAAGGGCACCTCCAAATTTCGGGGGTGGAACTAGGCGCAATGATAACAATCTGGCACTAAGGGCAGACTGATTGTATTGGATTAAGCTTTGTTTTAAAGTTATTTTAAGGTTTATTCCGTTTGGCTCTGTTTTTATTGAAATGGTTATGTGCAAAGCCTCTGAAACCCTTTAAAGGATCACTATAGTGTCAGGAAAACAAAGCGGTTTTCCTGAGACTATAGTGCCCTCAGGGTCCCCCTCCCATGGCGCTGAAGGGGAGGGGGAAAGCGAAACCGAAAAGTCAGCGAAACTGAAAGCGCATGCGCGGCAAGTGCCGCGTGCACATTCAAGCTGTCAATAGGAAAGCTGCCTATGAAGGCTCTGCACGATGGAGGCATAATATGCCTCCAGCATCGCAGATGCGCCTCTAGTGGCTGTCCAGAAGACAGCCACTAAAGGCTGGCTTAACCCCAAATGTAAACATAGCAGTTTCTCTGAAAAAACCTGAGGGACCTGGCACCCAGACCACTTCATTGAGCTGAAGTGGTCTGGGTGACTATAGTGTCCCTTTAAATAAAAGCTACAGCCATTATATCCATTTACAGTCTCTTTGTTTCTTATTGTGTATGTCTTTATTTATATTATGTTATATATTGTCTATGCAATGGACATTTATACCCGGGGAGAGGGGGAGTATCTGAATTGCTAGCCCTACCTTATATTTTATAATTACAAATCCCGATTAATGATTTATATGTCAATACACACCTGGTCTGTTTCCAGGTCCGGCCCTCTGTCTGTCTCTCGGGCGTGGAAAAAAGTTGTGCAGATTGATGGGTCTCTTGTCACGAGATCCACTCTCCGGACAGAATCAATGGCCAAGCGTGTTATATACCCAGTGACCCTATATTTACCCAATACTTTATATACACAGTATATACCCAGGGCTGTATATTTACCCCATACATTATATACACAGTATATACAGGGGTTGTATATTTACCCCCATACATTATATACACAGGGGGTGTATATTTACCCCCATACATTTTATACAGGGGGTGTATATTTACCCCCATATATTATATACACTGTATATACAGGGGGTGTATATTTACCCCGATACATTATATACTGTTACGGTTGCCCCAGGCTAGCTGAGGGTTGGACCGTAGAAAGGATGCTCCTAGAGCTCACCAACGACCATCAGCACCGTAGACACCATAAGTACTGCAGATCCCACGAACTGCCGCTGCTGGGTTGGGGTGTCACCATCTTCTACCTACCCTGGACCTACGACAAGGCTCCAGGTTCCAGTGGGGAAACCTCTCTTCCTCCCAGAGAGCGAAGCAGGATCAGGAACAAGAGGTCTTACAAGAGCTCAGTGAAGCTAAGGGAATATGCAGGGCATAGCAATCCCTGTAGTGATTATAGATGTCCCCTCCAAACACAAGTCAAGGCTGTGAATTGAGGGTCAAGTAGAACTGGTTTAATGAGCACACAGGACTTTCTTTTATACAGGTTTTCCCACAAGGTTACCACCCACGCGGACCTTGTGGTACACAGGACACAGGGTTACAAAAGCCAATCAATACAGTACAGCACAGTCAGACACTCCCAGCTAAGGCACACAAACCCTCCCCTCTGCCTGTGATATAATTACTGAACACAATGGGCTAACTTAATTATCACAGGCAGAAAATATACAGTTTTACATAATATTCATAACTTCAAAACTATACATGCAATTTCCATGAAAGTTATATTTTCTGAACCAGCATAATCAGTGAACAAACATATTCAAAAATCATACGAATTGATCCAGTGGATTCGGAAGATAGCTGGAAGTCATATTTGACCGACTGCAAGCATGGCTTTCATGCCCAAAACAGTTCCACAGATTTAGGGTTTGCAGCCGGTCTATCTTCTCCTCTATCCTGGAGATAATTGGCTTAGGTGGCTGTGGTAAGCCAATTATCTCCAAGTCCAAAAACGTTTACAAAAACTACAGAAAAATACATAACTCATATAATACGATGTTTAACCTATATGTCCAACATATGCCCAGATAGCTTGGATCTGAGCGCTCAATATGTCCGGAAAGCGCTCAGATCCCACGAATACAGTTGGATCGCCATGGGGTTAAACAATACCAAGGGCTGATGAGAGATTGAGGAGGGACAAAGCAGCCAGTTTCAACTGGTCTGGCAGTGTCCCTGGGACAACGCCCTGCTGGAGAACAATAGGATAGGAAAAAGGGGGAGGGGAAGAGGCACATTTTCCCATGAAACTAAAGGGGCAGAAAAAATGTTTTAAAAATCCAATAAGCCCAAATAGACTTTTTAAATGGCAATACACCCCAGGGGCCATAGTCACAAGGCAGGAGGCTGGCAATCAGGCTCCTCCAAAAGTCAGTGGCAAAAGGCAGTTTGTCACATACCTTGAATCATCCTTTCCCCACAGATTATGATCTCACAACCTCTACCCTAATGACTAGAACGTCCCAAAGGAATTACTTGGCACCCACCTTAGCTGAACCCTCTGGGAGCCACTCTTTAAAGTGGACATGGCACTAACCCCTGCAGTACTATGCACACTTACAGCAATATTAAAGCATTGCCCTGTACATGAAAGTACTAAGATGGTGAATCATTTCTGTTATTCCTACTTACCTCTACAGTACTACTTACCCCAATAAGCAATCCACATCAACAGCAATGATAACCAATGTAAGCACTTTGCCATTTCTATTTTATTGGTAATTCAAGACACACAGACATAAGCAAACAATAAAACCACACATTCTAAGAAGTATAAAAAACACGGGAGAAACTATGAAGTAAAGACCTTTATAAAATGTGCCTGACAGATTATCACTCTGCGCCTCGAATACACAAACCAATAATCTATAAAGACTTCTCCATTTAAAGAATGAGCGTGAGTGAACTATCAATACTTACCAGCAAAAGGTGAACATATAGCAAATTCTGATCAGTATGGAATAACAAAGGTACAAGTTACTTAAAAATAAAACAGAAAAAAATGACAGTAAGCTTTCTAAAGAAAACGAAATAGGCAGTAATTAAAGTCTTGTTTTTCAGTCACGGCAAGAAATCTTCAAATAATTGGTCTAGCAGAGACAGTAACTACTTTGTGGACTACGAAGTATGTCAGCTATCTTGAAAGGTCTCAACTCTTAGATATGTGATAAGTGATCAAAGACATGGAAGCTCAAGCAGGATGCCATTTGGCACAGTTGTAACCGCTTTCCCAACATTTCCCATATTCTGAACAAGAGAACAGTTTGTCTCTTGTTTAACAAGATTTATAAAAACAAAAACAACAACAAAAATGTATGTGTGATTAAAAGAGCGACAAATAAGATTTCAGAATATAAGAGGTTCATTTTGCCCTTGTATGAATCCTTCGGTGCCTCACATAAGTGGTATGATGGGTAAAGCGCTCACCACATTCAAGGCATGAGAATGGCTTCTCCCCAGTGTGGATCCTTTTATGTTTAACAAAATTTGCACCATTTGCAAAAGATTTCCCACATTCAGAACATGAGAACGGCCTATCCCCAGTGTGAATTCTCTGATGTATAAGTAGACTTGTGCTATCATTGTAGCCCTTACCACACTCAGAACATGTGAATGGTTTCTCCCCAGTGTGGATCCTTTTGTGTGCAATAAGATGTGAGGCCTGGGTAAAACGTTTACCACATTCATCACAAGAAAATGGTTTGTCTCCTTTGTGACGTCTTTGATGTATAAGGAGAGAAGAGCTATGTGCAAAACATTTATCACAATCAGGGCATTTAAAAGGTTTTTCTCCGGAATGACCTCTCTGATGTCTAACAAGATTAGCCTTTCGGTTAAAATGTTGTCCACATTCCGAACATGAAAATGGTTTCTCCCCTGTATGAGTCCTCTGATGCCTCACAAAAGTGGAATGATGTGTAAAGCGCTCACCACACGCAACACATAAAAATGGCTTCTCCCCTTTGTGCATCCTTTGATGTTTGATAAGATCTGTGCCATTTGCAAAAGATTTTCCACATCCAGAACACAAGACTGCTCTGTCCTCAGTATGAGTTCTTTGATGTAAAAGAAGACTTGTGCTATCATTGCAGCCCTTACCACATTCAGAACATGTGAATGGTTTCTCACTTGTGTGGACCCTTTTATGTGCCATAAGATGTGAGGCCTGGGTAAAACATTTCCCACATTCGTCACAACTGGTCGATTTGTCTCCTTTATGGCATCTTTGATGTATAAGGAGAGACGAACTATGTGCAAAACATTTCTCACAATCAGGGCATTTAAAAGGTAGGACAGATATATCTTCTAACTTTGTATTAATGTCTGTGAGGTTCCCCTCATCACGTGAGGATGAGGTCTCCTTAAAAAAAGTAGTTTGATATTCTAAGGATGTACAAATATCAGCGTCTGTTCGATTACATTTTATGTATTTGTTACTATTTGTGAGATGTTTTTCTTCATGTGGAACAGATTCTTTTGACACGCATGTTATAGAGTCAGTTTGCCTTTTTCTCGTGATGTCATTTTTCACATATTTCTCTCTATTATAGTTTTTATTTTCAGCTTGGTGCTTGGTTGCAAAATCAGGCAAAGAAAATGGAGCGTTAAGTAAACCGGATATAGATTTATCTATTGAAAGAAAATTTAGATTAATAGCCAATCAATTACTTATGAATGTCAAGTACACATGTCAAACAACGTTTGGACTGCAATTTCCCTGGCATTGTGCACAAATATATTATGGTAATTAAACTTCTTCTTACCCAGTGAGCTAAGGTTCTTGTATAGATCCATGTGTCCTTCTAAATACTCCCACTCCTCCATGGAGAAATAGACAGTGACATCCTCACACCTTATAGGAACCTGACACACACAATGATACAGTCACCATCCAGGAACATCCCTTGGTTTTACTGTATAATGTCCCATTCCCAGCAGCCTCACCTCTCCAGTCAGCAGGTGAATGATCCGATAGGTTAGTTCGAGGATTTTCTTGTCATTGTTCTTCTCATGTAACAATAAGTGAGGTGGAGACACGGGAGAGTTCTGGGTCCCGCACGATCCAGCCGATATATGAGGACTGCTGCTACGAGTCCCACATTCTCCAGACCTCGTGCTATAATGCTATATATCGAGAGTGGAGATAAGACATGAGAAGGTTTCCTTTCATAGACACAAACAAAGCAGAAAATAAGACTTCAATCTGGTTCATTCCTCCTCAATACTGTTCTATTTCAACAAACTAGGTTTATATGGGAGGTTGGGCTCTATAAAGGGGAACTCTCACTTCCCAGAATTTGCAATATTATGTTATGTATCCCTTTATTATGTATTTGTGAGATGTGAAAAATAAAATGAATGTAAATATCCATACTTCATTATCCTACAATTCCATCGTGTCAATCATTGCTATAAGCTCCATAGTTTGTACTTCGCATTTAGAGAACGCTATCAGAAAAGATGAGATAAAAGATTATTTCTGTTTCTCCTCTTCATATTCAATGTTTGCCCGGCTTTGCTTTGTCTGAACCAGATAATGATGATGTTATTTGATAAATCTTTAACAGAAATTTTAAAGAAAACATCTCATGCAGAAAAGATTAACACAAGTTACAGGTTATTTCCAATGTTTTATTTAATGGTGTAAATTCCAAACATATGACAGTTCCTCTTTGACCATTTGACAGCCGACCTTGTGAATCCCATAGCCATGACCATGGGCCTGGCCTAGGGTGGGGAATGGCTGCTATGGTAAGCAGAGACATGGGACTGAAGCTCCTGTAGTCTATGCCATTATTTGTCATTTTTTTGCATTTCTAATAGGCCAAGCATTGTTGGACAACAGGAGTATATCTGAAATACTTGGAGGAGGGTTTTAAGCCATCAGAAGCTGAGCTATCTCTGGGCAGAGTGATGTCTCTGTAATCCAAGCAACCTTCATCCTACGTGGACATCCTGGACAGAGAAGAAGGCCTCTCTGCCGCACTGCCCAAGGAAGGATCTCTAACAGCCATCTGAGAAGTGGCCAGTGAAGTTATCACTAGGCTGTAATGTAAACACTGCATTTTCTCTGAAAAGACAGTGTTTACAGCAAAAAGCCCGAAGGTAATGATTCTACTCACCAGAACAAATTCAATAAGTTGTAGTTGTTCTGGTGACTATAGTGTCCCTTTAAAACCATTCTTGAGAGAGTTATAGTCCAATATATGAATAATATCAAAAATAAATGTATGAACACTTTTCTCGAGGATTGACAATTCAATAGAAAGCTCATATTTATCTATTTTCCCGTCTTGTTTTGTGATATCCAATTTACATATTATGTTCATGAGACTATGAAATCTATATTTACCAGACATCATCCCATGACTTCTCTCTCCATGTTCTTTTTATAAGATATGTATTAGCATGAAACCACTGTGACACTCCCAGAACCACTCACCTCTCCAGCCAGCAGGTAGATGATCTCCATACTGACATTACCCAGAATCCCTCACCTCTCCAGCCAGCAGGTAGATGATCTCCATACTGACATTACCCAGAATCCCTCACCTCTCCAGCCAGCAGGTAGATGATCTCCATAATGACATTACCCAGAATCCCTCACCTCTCCAGTCAGCAGGTAGATGATCTCCATAATGACATTACCCAGAATCCCTCACCTCTCCAGTCAGCAGGTAGATGATCTCCATGGAGACATTACCCAGAATCCCTCACCTCTCCAGTCAGCAGGTAGATGATCTCCATAATGACATTACCCAGAATCCCTCACCTCTCCAGTCAGCAGGTAGATGATCTCCATGGTGACATTACCCAGAATCCCTCACCTCTCCAGTCAGCAGGTAGATGATCTCCATAATGACATTACCCAGAATCCCTCACCTCTCCGGTCAGCAGGTAGATGATCTCCATGGTGACATTACCCAGAATCCCTCACCTCTCCAGTCAGCAGGTAGATGATCTCCATGGTGACATTACCCAGAATCCCTCACCTCTCCAGTCAGCAGGTAGATGATCTCCATACTGACATTACCCAGAATCCCTCACCTCTCCAGCCAGCAGGTAGATGATCTCCATCCTGACATTACCCAGAATCCCTCACCTCTCCAGCCAGCAGGTAGATGATCTCCATAATGACATTACCCAGAATCCCTCACCTCTCCAGTCAGCAGGTAGATGATCTCCATGGTGACATTACCCAGAATCCCTCACCTCTCCAGTCAGCAGGTAGATGATCTCCATGGTGACATTACCCAGAATCCCTCACCTCTCCAGTCAGCAGGTGGATGATCTCCATAATGACATTACCCAGAATCCCTCACCTCTCCAGTCAGCAGGTAGATGATCTCCATAATGACATTACCCAGAATCCCTCACCTCTCCAGTCAGCAGGTAGATGATCTCCATACTGACATTACCCAGAATCCCTCACCTCTCCAGTCAGCAGGTAGATGATCTCCATACTGACATTACCCAGAATCCATCACCTCTCCAGTCAGCAGGTAGATGATCTCCATATGACATTACCCAGAATCCCTCACCTCTCCAGTCAGCAGGTAGGTGATCTCCAAGGTGACATTACCCAGAATCCCTCACCTCTCCAGTCAGCAGGTAGATGATCTCCATACTGACATTACCCAGAATCCCTCACCTCTCCAGTCAGCAGGTAGATGATCTCCATAATGACATTACCCAGAATCCCTCACCTCTCCAGTCAGCAGGTAGATGATCTCCATAATGACATTACCCAGAATCCCTCACCTCTCCAGTCAGCAGGTAGATGATCTCCATACTGACATTACCCAGAATCCCTCACCTCTCCAGTCAGCAGGTAGATGATCTCCATAATGACATTACCCAGAATCCCTCACCTCTCCAGCCAGCAGGTAGATGATCTCCATACTGACATTACCCAGAATCCCTCACCTCTCCAGTCAGCAGGTAGATGATCTCCATGGTGACATTACCCAGAATCCCTCACCTCTCCAGCCAGCAGGTAGATGATCTCCATAATGACATTACCCAGAATCCCTCACCTCTCCAGCCAGCGGGTAGATGATCTCCATGGTGACATTACCCAGAATCCCTCACCTCTCCAGTCAGCAGGTAGATGATCTCCATAATGACATTACCCAGAATCCCTCACCTCTCCAGTCAGCAGGTAGATGATCTCCATACTGACATTACCCAGAATCCCTCCCCTCTCCAGTCAGCAGGTAGATGATCTCCATACTGACATTACCCAGAATCCCTCACCTCTCCAGTCAGCAGGTAGATGATCTCCATACTGACATTACCCAGAATCCCTCACCTCTCCAGTCAGCAGGTAGATGATCTCCATACTGACATTACCCAGAATCCCTCACCTCTCCAGTCAGCAGGTAGATGATCTCCATACTGACATTACCCAGAATCCCTCACCTCTCCAGTCAGCAGGTAGATGATCTCCATACTGACATTACCCAGAATCCCTCACCTCTCCAGTCAGCAGGTAGATGATCTCCATACTGACATTACCCAGAATCCCTCACCTCTCCAGTCAGCAGGTAGATGATCTCCATACTGACATTACCCAGAATCCCTCACCTCTCCAGTCAGCAGGTAGATGATCTCCATACTGACATTACCCAGAATCCCTCACCTCTCCAGTCAGCAGGTAGATGATCTCCATACTGACATTACCCAGAATCCCTCACCTCTCCAGCCAGCAGGTAGATGATCTCCATACTGACATTACCCAGAATCCCTCACCTCTCCAGCCAGCAGGTAGATGATCTCCATACTGACATTACCCAGAATCCCTCACCTCTCCAGTCAGCAGGTAGATGATCTCCATACTGACATTACCCAGAATCCCTCACCTCTCCAGTCAGCGGGTAGATGATCTCCATAATGACATTACCCAGAATCCCTCACCTCTCCAGTCAGCGGGTAGATGATCTCCATAATGACATTACCCAGAATCCCTCACCTCTCCAGTCAGCGGGTAGATGATCTCCATACTGACATTACCCAGAATCCCTCACCTCTCCAGCCAGCAGGTAGATGATCTCCATATTGACATTACCCAGAATCCCTCACCTCTCCAGTCAGCAGGTAGATGATCTCCATACTGACATTACCCAGAATCCCTCACCTCTCCAGTCAGCAGGTAGATGATCTCCATGCTGACATTACCCAGAATCCCTCACCTCTCCAGTCAGCAGGTAGATGATCTCCATAATGACATTACCCAGAATCCCTCACCTCTCCAGTCAGCAGGTGGATGATCTCCATAATGACATTACCCAGAATCCCTCACCTCTCCAGTCAGCAGGTAGATGATCTCCATGTTGACATTACCCAGAATCCCTCACCTCTCCAGTCAGCAGGTAGATGATCTCCATAATGACATTACCCAGAATCCCTCACCTCTCCAGTCAGCAGGTAGATGATCTCCATAATGACATTACCCAGAATCCCTCACCTCTCCAGCCAGCAGGTAGATGATCTCCATACTGACATTACCCAGAATCCCTCACCTCTCCAGTCAGCGGGTAGATGATCTCCATAATGACATTACCCAGAATCCCTCACCTCTCCAGTCAGCGGGTAGATGATCTCCATAATGACATTACCCAGAATCCCTCACCTCTCCAGTCAGCAGGTAGATGATCTCCATGGTGACATTACCCAGAATCCCTCACCTCTCCAGTCAGCAGGTAGATGATCTCCATAATGACATTACCCAGAATCCCTCACCTCTCCGGCCAGCAGGTAGATGATCTCCACACTGACATTACCCAGAATCCCTCACCTCTCCAGTCAGCAGGTAGATGATCTCCATAATCACATTACCCAGAATCCCTCACCTCTCCAGCCAGCAGGTAGATGATCTCCATGGTGACATTACCCAGAATCCCTCACCTCTCCAGTCAGCAGGTAGATCTCCATAATGACATTACCCAGAATCCCTCACCTCTCCAGTCAGCAGGTAGATGATCTCCATGGTGAGATCCAATATCATTTCAGTCATCTGTTTCCTGACCTTGTTCATCACTGCGGCGTTCGTCACAGGCTATGGCCTTTGTTGATGAGACAGACGGTACTGCAATTTAAACATACACACTGCATTACAGTGCACAATCTTATGGAGATAAATGACTGAGTAGAGAAAGTAAGATTAATCAGAATTAGAGCAACAACAATCGTCAGCTTCACTCAGTCTGGCTTACGCCTGTGGAAAATGTGTATCACTGTCACCCTGTAATGAGAGGAACAGACGTGAGGGACTGTAGGGAAAGTCCTATCAGCCTGCAGTGAGGGACTGTCAATAACTTATCATTTTCACAGAGGATGGGAGACGCTGACCGGTCACTACCGAGTATGGGAAATGCTGACCGGTCGCTGTCTGTTCCAGAGGATAAAAGACGCTGACTGGTCACTGTCTGTTACTGAGGACGGGAGAGGCTGACCAGTCGCTGTCTGCTATCGAGGATGGGAGACGCTGATTGGTCGCTGTCTGCTATCTAGGATGGGAGACGCTGATTGGTCGCTGTCTGCTATCTAGGATGGGAGACGCTGATTGGTCGCTGTCTGTTACCGAGGATGGGAGACCCTGACGGGTCGCACCCGAGGATGGGAGACGCTGACCATCGCTGTCTATTACGAGGATGGGAGATGCTACCGAGGATGGGAGTCGCTGACCGGTCGCTGTCTGTTACCGAGGATGGGAGACGCTGGCCGGTCGCTGTCTGTTACCAAGGATGGGAGACGATGACCGGTCGCTGTCTGTTACCGAGGTTGGGAGACGCTGGCCGGTCGCTGTCTGTTACCGAGGACGGGAGACGCTGACCGGTCGCTGTCTGTTACCGAGGATGGGAGACGATGACCGGTCGCTGTCTGTTACCGAGGATGGGAGACGCTGACCGGTCGCTGTCTGTTACCGAGGATGGGAGACGATGACCGGTCGCTGTCTGTTACCGAGTACGGGGGACGCTGACCGGTCGCTGTCTGTTACCGAGGTTGGGAGACGCTGGCCAGTCGCTGTCTGTTACCAAGGATGGGAGACGATGACCGGTCGCTGTCTGTTACCGAGTACGGGGGACGCTGACCGGTCGCTGTCTGTTACCGAGGTTGGGAGACGCTGGCCAGTCGCTGTCTGTTACCAAGGATGGGAGACGATGACCGGTCGCTGTCTGTTACCGAGGACGGGAGACGCTGATGAAGCTGCGGAGGTAGAAGCGCGGTTTGTTAGCAGTCTAGTCTCCCATTGGCAGAGGGTGTGTATGGGGGAGATTCTGTCTGTCCATCATCCAGTAATAAATCAATAAACTCACAGATCTGGAATAACTAGTTACCTGAGCCGAATACACTACACTCAGCCAGTGACATCACTGACCCCAGCCTGGCCGGCGCGGAGCATCACGGGACCTGTAGTTTTACTGTGAGACGTACCCTGGCAGCGCGCGCTCTATCCGAGATCTACACACTCGAGCGGACTGCACCCAAACACAATCCCGGCCATGTTTCCGGAGACACAGATTCCGTCATATTAAAGTAACGGGGAGGGCACTGTGTGTCAATGGCCGATACTAATTCTTATTTAACATTAAAACAAGCTGCTTGGTATCTGCCTGGCCATTGTGCTTTAATATGACGGAATCTGTGTCTCCGGAAACATGGCCGGGATTGGAGTCATGTTTGGGTGCAGTCCGCTCGAGTGTGTAGATCTCGGATAGAGCGCGCGCTGCCAGGGTACGTCTCACAGTAAAACTACAAGTCCCGTGATGCTCCGCGCCGGCCAGGCTGGGGTCAGTGATGTCACTGGCTGAGTGTAGTGTATTCGGCTCAGGTAACTAGTTATTCCAGATCTGTGAGTTTATTGATTTATTACTGGATGATGGACAGACAGAATCTCCCCCATACACACCCTCTGCCAATGGGAGACTAGACTGCTAACAAACCGCGCTTCTACCTCCGCAGCTTCATCAGCGTCTCCCGACCTCGGTAACAGACAGCGACCGGTCATCGTCTCCCATCCTTGGTAACAGACAGCGACTGGCCAGCGTCTCCCAACCTCGGTAACAGACAGCGACCGGTCAGCGTCCCCCGTACTCGGTAACAGACAGCGACCGGTCAGCGTCTCCCGTCCTCGGTAACAGACAGCGACCGGTCATCGTCTCCCATCCTTGGTAACAGACAGCGACCGGCCAGCGTCTCCCAACCTCGGTAACAGACAGCGACCGGTCAGCCCCTCCGTAACAGACAGCTTAATCGGTCAGCCGCCTCCGGCCCTCGAACAGACAGCGACCGGGTCATTGCCTCCCACCTGAACAGAGACAGCGACCGCCAGCGCCTCCCCTAACCTCGAATAGACAGCGACCGCCAGCGGGCTTCCCCAACCTCGGTAACAGATAGCATCGTCAGCGCCCCCCTCAGACTGGTAACAGACAGCGACCGGTCAGCGTCCCCCGTCCTCGGTAACAGACAGCGACCGGTCAGCGTCTCCCGTCCTCGGTAACAGACAGCGACCGGTCAGCGTCTCCCGTCCTCGGTAACAGACAGCGACCGGTCAGCGTCTCCCGTCCTCGGTAACAGACAGCGACCGGTCAGCGTCTCCCGTCCTCGGTAACAGACAGCGACCGGTCAGCGTCTCCCATCCTGGGTAACAGACAGCGACCAGTCAGCGTCTCCCGTCCTGGGTAACAGACAGCGACCGGTCAGCGTCTCCCGTCCTCGGTAACAGACAGCGACCGGTCAGCGTCTCCCGTCCTCGGTAACAGACAGCGACCAGTCAGCGTCTCCCGTCCTCGGTAACAGACAGCGACCGGTCAGCGTCTCCCGTCCTCGGTAACAGACAGCGACCGGTCAGCCCAAAAAGGGAGCATGTCTGTCCAAAGAATTGGAAGGCCATCCTGGCATCAGTGTCCCCCTAGTCTTCCAGTGTCCCCATGTCTTTGTATGTTCCGTGTCACTAGGATACTAGGGGACACTGAGACACATGGGGATACAATGAGACTTGGAGACATGGGGGCACTTGTGGATACAGCCATGGGGACACTGGGAGAAATGGGGACAAAGACACTAGGGACATAGAAACATGGCAACATAGAGACATGGGAACACAGGCACTGGGAGACTAGGGGACACTGGGATACATGGGGACACTGGATGGGAGGCATGGGGACCCTGATACACTTGGGGACACAGACATGGGGGCACTTGTGGACATAAACATGGGGACACTGAGACATATGAGGACACAGACACTGAGAGACATGGGGACACAGACACTATGGACACGCTCTGAGAGACATTGGGAGAAATGGGGACACACGTGGACACTGGGAGACATTGGGACACAATCACTATGGACACTCTCTGAGAGACATTGGGAGACATGGGGACACACGTGGACACTGGGAGACATTGGGACACAGACATTTGGGGACACTGGGAGACTAGGGGACACTGGGAGCCATGAAGACACTATGTCCTTATTGTCTCTGTGTCCCAATGTGTCTCACAATATTCCTATGTCTCACAATGTCCCCAAGTGTCTCAGTGTCCCCAGGTCTCCCAGTGTCCCCTAGTGTCTCAGTGTCCCCATGTCTTCCTGCTGCCTTTCCCCCCATCCTTCAGTTTCCTGAGCTTTAGGCTGTCTCTGCTGTCTGGACTCTCTGTGCTGTGTAACTGCTCCCCTGTGGATCAGTGAGTAGAGCAAGGCAGAGAGGGATATGCTGTAACTTCCTATCCCTGCCTCTCTCCACATACAGTGACCCCTACTGGCTGGTGCTAATATTAAGGAGTAATCTCCGTTTATACTGAGAAAAATATCTGCATTTGTATTGCTGGTTTAACTGCAATACCGGCGCCGGCCAGGCAGCCTCAAATACCAGCTGTCCCGGTAAAATGCCAGTTAAGGGGCAAACCTAAGAATAGTGTGCAAAAAAGTGTAAAAATTATTATTATTTTTTTTCAATGGGCCTATTCCATGGGCCTGGAGCTGCAGCTCCATCATCCCCTATGTTAATCCAGCCCTGATGGGGTCTCTATTGAACATGCAGTAAGCTCACCCAGACGCCTCTGTGTCTGGGAGATATTTGTGTCAGCTCTCGTTTAAACAAATTCCCTTTCCAGATACAGAGAGAGAAACACAGAATACCCCCAAAAACATCCATCCTTGAACCCTCACATATTATATATGCCCGGATAGGTTTGATCTGAGCGCTTTTGCCCGGCCGCTAAGAAAGTTTTACCCAAATTTGTTTCCATAAGGCGGGCGTCGCACTCTGGTCTTTTAACAGGAGCTTTAGCAGCTCGAGGAAGGGGGGGCTCCCTCTGGCTCATAAATAGCAATTGTCCAACTTGAATTGTATCTTCCCTCCAAAAAGCACTCTCCTAGTAATCTCAGTTAATACTGAGAAAAATATCTGCATTTGTATTGCCGATTTAACTGCAATACCGGCACCGGCCAGGCAGCCTCAAATACCAGCTGTCCCGGTAAAATGTCAGTTAGGGGGCAAACCTAAGTATAGTGTGCAAAAAAGTGTAAAAAAAAAACACATTTCGATGGGCCTCAAGCTGCAGCTCCATCAGCCCCCATGTTAATCCGGCCCTGATGGGGTGAGACCCAGGGAACAAGATGACTGGGTCGAGGGGCTGAACATGGCCAAGCTGAAGTTCCAGAGACAACATTGGTAGCTCATGCTGGAGGTGTTAGGATATTCCGAGCTCCCTGAAATGGCCAATGGGCAAGGGGCGCTGGCTAGAAAATACATAGAGGGGAAGAAGAGGAGCGGGATAGTAGGGGGATAAAGTCTGTGGTAGCGGATTATAATTCTTTTGGGGTGCAGGTTCTTTACAGTTATAAGGACATTCATTATATCAGTTTGATAGAGATATGATAACTTAATAAAGGAATATTTATTATGAACAAAAATACACAGTGCATACAAAAAATAGATGACAAATTATTTACACCAAGCATGTCAAACTCAAAGTATAGCACGGGCCAAATAAACAAGGTTTAAGTTTATGTGGGCCACAAAAAAA